CCTGCTGAAACTGTTGTGGAAACTATGAAGCTGCATGAATGAAGACTTTTTGACTCGGTGTTTATGGTAGTTTCTCAGGTTTAGTTTTAACTGGATGTTAAATACACTGTGTTTTATAAATAGTTCTTCTCTTTGAGTAACACATTCAGTTCTATGCAGTGTTACATGTCATTTGGCATTTGGTGAATGTGCATGTTTTGAACTGCAAATTTTAAATGTTTTGTCTTTTAATTGTTAAAAAATGAATAAAATTTCCCATTAAATGAAGAAGCTTTGTTGAATTGATTGGTTGCAAATGCTGGGGATTACTTTCAAAGGAAAACATATATCTCATCACTCTTGTTTTTGAATTCTTTAAAATGACACATATCAGAAATAGCATTTCACAAATACCAAAGAACTCTTAGGTTATTAAGGTAAACTGAAAAAGTAGGAAATTGTTTTAAGATTATTTTTTTTAACACCTATTTTGAGATGTCTTTTTCAGTTCTCATGTGAAGTCCAGAAAATCTTTAAAAAAAAAAAAAAGGAGCACGACAGTCTGCAGTCTGCAATTTGCAGCAGAGTCCTAACATAGTCTGGTGGTAATACCATATTTTGAAAGAAAGTATGCAGTACAAGAATGATAGAGTGAGAATAAGGAAACATCACCTTTTTCAGATGACAGTGGTAAATACTGTATCCTTTGGCTATGATAATAGTGGATGTTTCTTTCCCCTAAGAGTGCCCACACACTTAATAAAAATCAATATATCCAAACCTAAACTGAGTTTTGGTTCTAGATGGGTGACTGATTCTTTATATACACTCTAGACCATGAATTTATTTTGTAGATTTTGTGTTCTGTTAAGGCAGGTTTGATAACAGATGCGTGTTTCACGCTGTTAGTTTAATGGTAGAGCTGGTTTAAGGAGATTCCACCTCATGATATGTCACCGCCTCTATTACACTGGCAGTCATGAGGCCATTCAAATTATTCAGGTTATAATCCAGTTTGTAATGATCCAGGCTCCCTTTCAAATCCTTTCCCTCCTTTCTTATGGCAAACGTTATTTTTAAGCTGAATCATTTTGCTAACCTGATTTACACCGCAGCCCCCTGAATTTGCACAAGTCATAGATGGAGAGAATAAAAAGAACAGAAAGGCATTTTTTTCTGCCTTTGCTAATGAAGACAGCATAGCATAGAATTACAGCCTCAATATAATTGTGAATCAAAAACCGTTTACGTGAGTATTGTGGAGCAGTAGCCCCCTCAAAAGCAGAAGCTCTGTTCAGAGTAGTTCAAGTTCACACAGCACATCGCAATACACGGAAAAACCGCACTTAAAATTGACTCCATCTCCATGAAGTTACTGTCAAGCTATAACTGAATAGTAGTGACAAAGTAATTTTGAAGTTGTCTTTTTTTTTTTTAAATACAGTGGGATTAGTATTACAAATAATTCATGAGTTTACATAGCTATATACTGTACCGCTTACCTAGTTTCAAATAAAATCCTTCCTTCTTGCAAGTACATGTAATGTTTTTCCTAGCACTGGAGAGTTTTGATGCAGTTTGGAGATACACGCTTAAGAAACTCAAAGCATAGAAACACAAAGCAAATGGCCGATCTAATTGATGTCACTATTATTCTTTGCCCACAGAAGGCTTGGGTTTCATACATGCCATTACCAGTTAATGGCAATGAAAGCATTTTGTGCGTACTGTGTGCGAATGACAATAATCAATTTAATGAGTGTGATTCTTCTTTCATTTTGATTCTTTTTAGATTGATGTCACTCTAGTAAAAAGAGTATGAACTAACTCCAGTATTACAAAAGAAATAGTTTAACCTACTTTGTCAAAAAATAAGCATGGCAGTAAAGTAAGTACTGTATAAATACTGCTGCTGATATAGCAAGCAATTGTTTTTAGTTCAAGCATACAAGCCCTTCAAACTGTTTCATTAGTAATTAAAACTGTATCAAAATGCCATGTGTGTTCTGTCTGCAAGTTTTAGGAAAATTACTATTGCCTGTAAATCACAGGAGCCATAGTGCCAATAGCTCCTTTCCATTGGGAAGGAAATTCAGCATTCTCACCTGCACCCTCAATCGGAGTTGGAAACAACCGGCATAGGCAACAAGCGTTTCGGTCCATGGGCTTGTATTCTGGCACCTCCTTTCCTCTCCCTTCAGCTATATAGGTCACTGCCACTGTAGCTACATAAACAGTAATTTATAGATTCTTCTTAACTTACAGATTCTTCCTTGTCTATTTGCAGATGGTGCATAATCCCCACCTCACCTGCTTTACAGGTAACCCAGTAAAGCTAGTTTAACTGCACCTGATCTTTCCCAGCCTTTGACCCCCGTCTGCAGGATTTGTTGCACTCTGGCTACCAATCTGGCTTACTCTGGCTTAGCACTCTATAAACTTACAGACTTCTCTAAGTCTGATTCAATGAAATTATGCCTGTGTGTCAAGTTCTTCAAGCATTTTATGAGCAAACCCATTATGCAGCATCAGGGGAAGAAAGGAAGTCTCTCAGGGGAGTCTTCCTTGCTAGGCTGAGTTTCACACTACATAGCAAACTGCACAGCCTCTACTTAGGCTGAATAATCATTAAAATCTGTATGACTGTATGCAAGTGTAGCGAAAATCTGTCCCTATGTGAAAATATTAATACATCTGCCTGTAGAGCCTACCGAGACCATTACCGTGAAGCAGCCCAGCCTGCTGAGCATACACTGCCCAATGCCAACAGGCAGTAACCGAGCCCAACTCAGGACTTCTCTGTCTACAGCCTATCTTTGAGGAAAACACTGAATTTCAACTACTCACCACCTGCATCCGTAGCTCTGACGACTGATCACTCTTTAAAGGTACACAAAATTGCACCTCCTTAGCTAAAATTGATCGAGTTTCTGCTTCCAGAAGGATCTGTGTTGCGCTGGTTTACTAGACAAAGATTTCCACTAATTGAAGACTTACTGTAGTTTGTAAGAAATACAGTTCAATTGTTTTACTCTCCGTTTCTGCTGTATACAGGCATGATCAGCAGATCTCACAGGATGCTTCCAAACAACAGAGTTGATATCTGTTGCAAATTTAAATGATTTTCCAAAAAGTTACTTGATGAACACTCCCACATTTCTTACCCATTCAAAATGTGAAGAGTCTTAATGAAACATCATCAAAGGTGGGCAAAAATTTACTGTCCTCCTTCCTTGCAGGTTGTTTCTAAAAAAAATTGCAAGCCAAAACACTTACCTTTCAATTAATTTCCCAAGTACTCAAAATCTACTCTTTAGATTTTTATAAAATGCATACAGTACTGTTTATCATGATTTTACTTTGTAATTAACAATTATAGCAAGCTAAAGCCTATTATTTAAAACATCATTGTATACAGCTTAAGTTGTCTTTCTGCTTAGAAATTGCATTTCCAGCAGTAATATCTGTTGGACTGTAATCTTAATTATGCAACAAAAAAACATATTAAAAGGGTTATTTCAAAATATTTTTTTCATAAATGCAAGATACTGATTGCTAGATCATTTGCTAAGAAAAAAAATGTATTCAGCTCTTGAGGAAGAACCAATTAAACTTTTCTAAAATGCAGAGAAATATACTGTAATTCAGAACAGAAGTGCTGTAATTTTAATATCCACCGATATGCTAGTTCTTGTAAAATAGATCAGCTATAACGTACTTCGACAGATCCTATACACAGGGAGTCTGGGGCTGATAAAATAGGAAAGTTCAGCCTCTGATATTGTAGATTCTGACACACAGAATGACTTCGTTTGTTCACCAAAATAAGTACACAGAGAAGCCCTTTAATGACTGCATTTTTTTTTCTTGTGTATTTTTCATTTGCTTGCTGCATGTGTTTGGTTTAGATGAATTTTTTTCTTCTTCCATTTGGTTTGTTGGTTTACTTGGGTGAAGGAATGTAGAAGGGCAAACAAAATTTAATCCTAGGGCAGGATGTTTTAACTTAAAATACCCCAGTAATCAGTGTAGTTTTTACCACAGTTACATATAAAAGACATTAATTAATCTATTAGTTTGCTATATAGTCAGAATTTTATATTACATTAAATCTGTGCAACAGGTGCAGTTAAAGATGTAAATCATTTACAAAAGCAAAATGAACTATTTTTAACAGGAAAAAATACAGCATAGTTACACCATCAAAATGAAAACTTGCTCATCAAACACTAACTGTACAGAGACATACACACAACACAACATTCCAACCACAAGGTTTATTGATAATTTTTTTGTGTGTGTGACTACTAAATAATTAATGTTGTCAATGCTGTAAATACATTTTAAATTACAAGCTTGTCTTTACATTTATACACGGCTAATTTTACAAATAGAACTTTATGATCAGTTTGTCCAACTTACACACATTGCTGAGCAAAAAGCCAACAATAAATACTTTCTTCTGAAAAAATGCTTTAATACAATGCCATATTTAGAATTTTATGCGGAGAAGTTATTAGTGATATTGCTGAATACATTCTGCTTTTCTCATAGATAATTATTTGGCTGCTTGGGATTGGGTCATTTTCAACTAGCCTAATTAGTACTACTTTTATCTATCATAGTTAAAGTTTGCTAATACAAATGTGCAGTGTAAGTTCAGGTGTATTACGTGTATTTTAAAAACCCTACGGATTTTGATACCTGTGGTAAAATTCTTCCTCTTATTTTCATTGCTCATGGAAGTGGGAAGCAGTCAGCTGTCTTCAGGATCCTCTTTAGTAAATATTACTCCTCTCTTACTTCTCAGGCTTATTGCTGCTTTATAGAACTAGTCTGATTATATCAGTGGAACGCAGCCACCATTTCTTAACTAAGTTAACAGCATTTAGGGTTAAAATGTCATTTGTAACACCATCAAATAAGTACCTTTATCCAAAAATGGTTTTTCTCCTTGTCTCTGAACACGTTCTGCACAAATTATACTGAACGATCAGAGCAGCCAGTTTTTAGAGCAACTGTCTGGAATATTTTACAGTTCATTTATTACGTGTGATCCAAGTTTGGGAAATGAGACCTGGCACTTTTCAAGGGCAACTCACCCACGGGAACGGTTCTGACTTCCGCAGCCACAGAGCCCGTCAGTGTGACACCCAACAGCAGCAGTCCCTGCGCTTCCAAAGGCTGCGTTACTTCTTCGTGACTCCTTTCAGCTCTGACTAAAATCGGAGCAGCTCTTCCCAGCCAGGGCAGGCTCCGGCTGGAGGGGATACCCAAAGTACGGCGGTGACACCAGAAATCCCGACGGCTGGGTCAGGTGGACTGCATGGGCTGCCTGGAAGCAGCCAGAGGTGTATGGTGGAGGTGGCGATGCCACAAGGCACCCTGGCTCTGCCCGGGGAAAGGAGAACCTGCGAACTGAGCCGCCGGTTGAACTGGAACTTGTTGCAGTACTGGACTGCCTCGACGGCGTCCGGAAGCTTGTCGAGGCCAGGATCATGGGAAGAGTCTCGGTCTGATAGCTCCGCAGAGAAAATCGTATTGGCTGCGATGGCTGTTTAGGTCTTAAACATGTGCAACAGTAAACTGCTACCAGAGAGCCCACAATAATGAAGGCAATAAATATTGATCCAACAATGAGGAATGGAACGTAGATTGGTTCTGGGAGAAGAAAGAATAAGAAAAGCCACGCACATTAGCCTACGGAATAACAGGTCTGCTGCGTAGAAATAAACTCCATGGAGTTTATGAAGCCCCACACCGTTTCAGCCCCACTAACACACTCAGCTGCTCGGAAGACAAAGCTTTCAACCATTATCATTAGAACAAGATTAAAGTTTAAACCCTGTATGTACCACTCAAAATTTCTTTCTGCTGACAGTTTTAATAGTCACCGATGGTAAAAGCTGCCTACGCTGTGTCCCGTTTGCTGGTTCTAGTTAGGTTTTGCTCATGAATCACACTCCTCTCTCCCTCCCTCATCTCCCAAAACTTTCGGGGCTGTCCAACCTAACAGCTTGAATCTGCAGGCGAAGCTCAAATGCTGCAGATGCTGGTAAGCTGCTTCCACTCATAAGGTGGAAAATAAGCGCAGAATGTGTAACTTGGGAAACCAGCCTCCGTGTGCGCTGCCGGATTTCTTTTGTCTGAAAAACTGACGGCCCCTTACGCGGTGGAGCTGTGTCTGGAGAGCAGCGGAGCCCAGTCCCACCTCCGGGAAAAACGAAGTTAAGAAGACACAGTTAAGTTTGCTGACGGAAACTTAGAATACAAATGCGCCATACAGGTAGGATGAATCCAGGCGCTGGTGCCCTTTCTGACCGGGAAGTCAGGGCACCAAGCGCATCCCCGGGCGCCCGCTCTGCCTCCTGGCGCGGGGGCC